TGGACTCGAAGAACCTTGGCGCAAACGTAGGTCCATTACGAAAGTCGCGTCGCGTTTTTCTGCACTCCCACTGTCACAGCATCTGCTGTACCGGAAGTGCAGGTTTTCCTCCTGTTCCGGTCCGCTATTGCACGTTTTGTTTTGCCCCCTCCGCTCGCGCCGTCCTTGGGCAGAGGCTTCGAGCGTGCTTGTCACGTGGGTCCGAGCAGCCAACCACGCGCTCTGCTGGCTGCCGTCAAGGCCTCCGCTGTTGTTGTCATTCCCCAACCTCCCGAAAACTAGAAAGGGGAAGAGGGCGACGTCAAGGAAGCAAGGAGGGAAGCCGTGCTGTTTGCGGGTTGATGTCCAAACGGAAAACGGACGCGCGCGTCGTAGCTTTCTGCGTTTTTAGAAGGCATTTGGTGCATCCTGTTTGGACAACCCTTTAGACGGTCGCTCGCAAGGCACGTGTGACGGAACTTTATGCTTCCTCCAAATGCTCGAGTGACCTTTGCGCTTCGCGATGTTTACGCCAAAAGGCGCTGGCCAGATGGCCGTAGGCGTCGCAGCGCCTGCCCTCTTAACCTAGTGTTTACGTTGACGAACCTTTGCCATTCGTCAGGCCAGCCGTGCAGACGCAGTATTGTGGCTTGCTCTGACGTCGCAACAGCCGCCATTATGTTGGCGTTGCTGCCGAGCGCGTAGCGTCTGACGCGAACGACTTCGCGTCAGTAAATAATGCTACTATTACTCCCCGACTATTGAAACCCGTAGTTTTGCTACTCAATTGAGCTTGCAGAACTGCTCTACGTGTAATTAACGGGCCGAATGTAACGGCACAAATCGGGCGGTAAAGGTTTATCATAGTGAACTGAACGATTCCCAAGACTGAGGACAGAGACAGAGCAACGCACACACGCACCAAGGTCTTAACACAAAAGCAGTGTTTGGGACGTGTTTGTGATTGTCTTGTCAGTCTGGACTCTCGGCATAGAGTTTATTCTCGTGTACGGATCGATCGAAAATAAAATCCCGCGAGGTATAAAGAGCACGTGATCACGTGATTAGAGTTTGATTCTAGCTAAGAATATATAAAAAAAAAATCGAGTTCTTACACTGTGCATTTTGGTGGCCGTTGGCAGGCGGTGTAAAAGTTTCGAGGCTGTGTAAAGTACGTGCGCTACAGCACGCGTTGTCTCTGGAAACGTGCCAACGTTGCGGAGCAGCCTCTGACGCCATATGCTTACCCATTCTGACGTCGTGAGCCGAAGCCAAGGTTCCTGAACTGCCCTGTCTGTGCCTCGCTGGCCCGACGTTTTGCATACGCGCGTTCCATCAACACCTTTTTCATCACAAGGCCGGTGCGCTGCATTTTATACGTCACGTACCGGAGGCCAGCGCCGGGCACAAATTGGGCACGAGCACTGCTTCGGCGTTCGGCTTGCAGTACTCGTGTTCAGTTAGTGAAAGCGTCAGTCCCAGCTTCGTGTTTATTCTGCGCCTTTTGAGTGCCTCCGATAGGTGACGTCAAAAATCTAGCACTGAACGGCCTTGTTACATAAGAGGTGTCTGTTTCATTCCGCTTTAGCAGGCGGCGTGCGTGCCGTCTCTTCTTATACTCGTGCCCTAATCTTGAGTATTTCGATAAGTATTCGAGAGTGGTTTAAGTTTAAACAAGGTTCCTAGACCGTGTTCACACAGTATTCATATTTTTTTTAGGCGAGACAAAGAGGTTAGATGTACGAAGTTTTAAAGGTGCTCAGTGGTTCAATAAGACACTTCAAACCCGCATTTTCTTAAATTTTTTTTATTTGATCCTCGTTCTTTGCGGGCACCGCCCCAATTGTTCAAGAATGTGGCGGGTGGTGGCGCTGGCTTGCAATGTATGGTGGCGCCTCCCGGGTAAGGCTGGAGGCCCATAGCAAGGTTCTCTTTAAATGCGTAGCATTTCTATTGCCAGCCCTCAGCGCTTTCCTATCCGCGCCTGCGATGTGTCCACGACGACGTAATGATGCCACGTGACGACCGTCATGAGCGTGACGGTCGTCACGTGTAAAAATGGCGTCACGTGAAGGCGACGTCACGTTGTTTACGCGACATGACCAGCCGTCACGTCAGGTGGTCACGCAACGTAAGATCAGGTGACCTCGTGTTTTCTCGGTGGTCAAGTGCCACCGTAATGTGGAAAACCACACCGTCACAGAAGATCTTTGTCCGCTTCTAAATGAAAGCCACTGAGTTTTCTTCTTCTTTTTATTTTTGTAGTAACGTTGTTGTTTTTGTCCGCGGATACACCATTGTAATGTACGATACACCCACGTGCTTTTTATTTTTTTATGTATTCTATTGTTTTTTACGGGCTGCGCGCACTGTCAACAGCGCGCGTGGGAAACTGTCCCTGTTGTGTTATTGACGCAGCCGTATACGTATACTTGCAGCGCGCACGCGACTGCGCAGTTCTGGAGAGATATGCTTTCTGCACTTGTTGGCAACTCCTATTGTATTCGGGTTGGAATTGTTTTCGTCGGCATTCCTCGTTTCGCTGCTGTACAGTGGTAGGGGGAACCGAAGTATACGACAAGGCCTGTTATACTTTATACGCCCACTCACAAGTCGCGTGCCGCGATACATCCGTGCAGTGGTTGTCACTAAGTACGACCGCGGCCGGAGCTATACACCTTTCCAACGCTTTTCATCTAGGCGAGAAATGCTGAGTCACTGGTCTCATATTTCGTAGAAGAGAGGTACTGTGCACGCTCAGACTGCGTCCCCACAGTCCAGCAGACAAAGATGGCAGCGCCCAGAAAGCGATTATTGGAAAGGCCCATAGGCCAATCAAGTAGAGCCAAAAGCGGATCAGTGCAAAAGTGCTCGTTGTCTTCCTAGGTTGGCCATCGCCGAATAGAAAAAAACCAACAAAAAACAATCACGTAAAAACAATATGGCGGCGCGATTTTTATTTTTCATGTACTACCATGCACGAAATGCAGTGTTTAAGAAGTAGACATTATGTTTTTCTTGTTCGTTTAGAAGGCTATATATCCAGTCTCGTATAGTATATAAGGTGACGTCACGTCGTGTCGCGTGACGTCGATTTTCCCGCTAAATTTAGCGGTGAAACTGAATCGATGTATAGGCGACGTGATGTCGGCTAGCTCACCTTAGATAAATTTTCCCGCCAAATCTAGCGGGGAAACTAAATTGGTGTATATATCGTGTGATGTCAATTTTTCCGTTAAATGTAGCGGGGAAACTGAATTGATCCGTAAGTTCCGGGACGTCACGTCGCGTGACGTCGAATTTCTCGCAAAATTTAGCGGAGAAACTTGATTGGTGTATAGTTCACGTGGCGTGAGCTCGCGCGACATCAATTTTCCCGCCAAATTTAGAGGGGAAAACCGAATTGGTGTACGGGTCGTGTGACGACGTCGATTGTTCCGCTAAAATATAGCGTAGGGGAAAACTGAATTGGTCCGTAGGTCACACGACGTCGGGTCACATGACATAAAATTTTCCGCCATATTTAGCGGGGAAACTGCATGCATTCGCCTATAGGTCACGTGACATCGATTTCCCCGCTAAATTTAGCGGGAAATGAACGGACGGACGGATCCGGAGAAAACTATTGGGATTGGAGGTGTAGCGCTAAAAGAACATTTCAATCTAAAGAAAAAATACACACACAAAAAAACGCACGATCACGGCTTGGAGTGAAACGATGGCCTCGCTGCCGTCACGTTTGGAAGGCGGTGAAAACTAGGGAAAAACTAGGAAAAACGATGACTCCGTGAACATGCGAAGGCTTCTGCCCAGACAGGTTGTTTTTGCGTGCATATAGTTTGAACGGCTGGCTGCGTCGTATATACCCTGGGGAAGGGGGTTTCCCCCCTTTTGAATATGGATGGGTGGCGAGTGTCACCTGTCATCGTGGAGTGCTTGACTATCTTAACAAAATAAATGGCATCGAAAACGTATCCCAACACTTGAGGCGAAGCAGAAAAAAAAAAAGAAAATGGCGTGTCACGTTTAAGAACCTGAGTTCAAGTTGGCGGTATTCTACGGCTGGGTCTTTGATCAAATTTATACCGTGTATACCGCGCAGCGCTCAGCATTGAATACAAGTATACATCACGCGTTTTATTCTAATTTCAATCAAATAATGCATCAGACACCAGGTCACTTCAGTTCAGGAACGAATATCCGTAGGACGTATTAGGAAACTTATGCCAAACAAAAGTAAAGCAAAACAAAAAAAAAAAAAAAAAAGAAAAAGAAAACCGAGGCCACACTTTCTGGAAAAAGCCCTCGAAAGTTGGTAAATGTCGAGCTCGCTTTTTTCTTCTTTTTTTTAGTATATATATATATATATATATATATATATATATATATATATATATATATATATATATATATATATATATATATATATATATATATATATATATATATATATATATATATATATATATATCAGTGTGTCGAACCGAAAAAAATACGGGTTCGGTTACGGTTTAGGTTCAGGTAAATTTATTTTGTTCCGTTGTTGAAAACAACGTCAAACTCTGACGTTGTTTTCAATACGAGCTGAGCCGAGTTCACTCCGAACGCCGACGCAGTCCTCGTGTCCAATGCACGCTCAGAGTACGTGCACCCGAGCAATGGTGCACGTACTCTGAGCGTGCACCATTGCTCGTATTGAAGTATCGTAGTACGCATCAGCCCACTAGATGGCGCGCAATTTTGAATACAGTCTATTGCATTCGCTCTGCACCAAGCACCAAAATGGCTGCGCCCCTAAGCAAGTCCGACAATGGAGTGCCATACTATAAGCGCAGCGTATGCAGTGGATCTATGCCTATATACCTTTATTGAGTCTTACAAGTGGCGGAGGACATGGGACATTGCAGCGGAAGATGCTGCAATGTCCCATGTTGGGTGTGTCTTAAACTGTTGTAAAACAGATTACGCTTTTTTTTTATCTGTTCTCGAGCATGGACTTATCCTTTGCCGATTCTTCGCAGTACGACGAGGCGGTGTCCCACTACGGCGGCGGGGGCGGCGGCGGCGCCGGCGGAGGCGGCAGCGCCCTCGAGGCGGGTCCCCTGTACGGAGACCCCCACGGCGGGCGCATGCAGCCCCTGGCCCACAGCCCGCACCCGATGAACCCCATGTACGCCAACCATGCGCCGGGGGCACCGCAGGTCGCCAACCACGTCATGGGCGCCGTGCCGGACGTCCACAAGCGAGACAAGGACGCCATCTACGGGTAGGCCATTCTTAAGACATCCTGAGGACGTCGTACCGGCGTCCAGGGGACATCTATGGTACGCAAGGATATTCTAAAGACGTCATGTGAATGTTCACCGGACATGTGTGAAACGATAGGGCATCCTAAAGACGTTCCACGAACTTCCAAAGGACACCTAGGGAACGTTAGGACATCCAAAAAATGTTCCACGAACGTCTAAACGACATCTATGGAACGGTAGGACGTTTACAGGACATCTACGAAACGTTAAAACATGCTGAGGGCGTCCCATGAACGTCCAGAAAATATTACAGGAATATTAGGAGATTCCTGAGACGTCTTCTGAACGTCCCATGAATATACATTCAACTTTAGGACATCTACAGGACATCTCCGGAACGTTCGAACAATCACAGGACATCTACGGAACATTAGGACATCCCGAAGCGTCATATGAACGTCTACAGAACATCTATGGAACGTTAGCATATCCGATGGTTATCTATGAAACCTTAGGACATTCGGATGACATCCCTTAACCTTAGGTCTTTTTAAGAAAGTCATATGGACGTCCACAAAACATCTTTGGAACGTTCCGACATTTTGAGTACGTCCGTAGATCCATGCATGCATGTACTGCAAGGGTGGTGCATCCACTCGTTTTGTTCGTTCGTGTTTGTACACCGTCTGTTGCGAGGGGACAGCAAGCAGTTTCACCATATCTAATTTTAGCCAGATAAGGCAACCTCTTTTGAAAGGCAAGATGGGGCATATTACACATTAGAACTCTCTCTTGAGAAAATCAGTAGCACCACGTTTAACGGCGTTCTGTCCCATATTCAGGGGTTGACTGAACTTACGTCGCGGAGCACGTCATTCTGTGTTGTTACGGAGCTTGCAATACAAACGTGACAAAGGAAAGGATAAAAGAAATTCGACGTGCTTCATAACATCCGTTTAAGGTAATCGTTTTTGGCAACCGGCATTCTGACTAGAGCTCCAACGCTTCCGTAAACATATCCGCTAAGAGTACTCTGCTCTTCAGCGACGCCAACCCCCTCCCCCCCCCCCCCCCCCCTTTTCCGCGTTTCTACGGATTTTTTTTTTTTTGCCTTGCCTTTATATTACGGCACGAGCGAAAGTTGTCCAGGAGTGAAACCAAAACCGAAAATAAACCGAGTAAATAACAATCGTGTGCTTGCACTTTGAGATAGCACAAACGACTGCGAACAATAGGTAACAACCAAAAGAAGCGAAAACAAGGCAACAACCAGAAGTTAACGCGCTTTGTGCGTTGTTACAAAGCGTTGTGGTCTGTTGTCGCTACCGCGCCAGAGGAATATCTAGCCACTTCTGCAGCCTAATGTTACAATATAGGTCGCCGCTTTTTATGCCATAGGGTACGCTACCCGAAGGGAGTACCAGCGCCGGATGGCTAACGAAAAGCGTTCCTTTAACCGGAGCCTGGGTACGCCCGAGCTACAGTAGCCGGCCTCGGGTCCGCCTGCGACCAACTGCGACCGCAAGCAACAACAGCAGCGTCGGCGGCGGCGGCGGCGCAGCTAGTTGGCTTGCCAGCCAGCTAGTGGCAGCTGCCGCGGGCGTGGCAGGTGCGGAAGCAAAGCGGAGCTAAAATAACATACGGCGGGAGAGAATTCCGGCTACGAAAACAGCAAGCAAATGTGGGCCTTCGCCGGCGCAGACAAGGCGGACAAGTAGCGCAGCCGCGGGCACGAATTCGGCGAACCCCGGGGTTGGAACCCTGCGCAGTACACGATCAGAGACAAACTAAATCATTAAAAAAAAATTATATATATATGTAATGACAAAAAAACACAAACTTGTCGTTATGCAGTGTCAGGGTCCATCGCCCTTTAACCACCGCACCAACCCTATTACGTCGCTGGGTGACTCCGGTACATTTAATCGATTCTAGGGTTACGGCTGTTTTGAGTGAAGGAAGTGTCCCTAATTACGAGGTTTTTATTTTGTTTTCGATGCCTTGTGTAGATTTTTGTAGATATCTTATCTCTAACTTCTGTTTTGGGGGTCAATGGCGAAAACGAAACTACCGGCTCGAGCATGATGGCAACCCTCGCGATCAGCTGCATTTTAGGCTTAGGCTAGGTGGCGCAAGCTACCGCCCGTTACAAAGGGCGTAGCCATTAACATCCATCCATCCATCCAGCCATCGTGCGACGCAAACTTCGCACCGCGGTAGCGCAAAAAGTACGACTGGCCTATCGCAAAGAGCAATTCAGTAAACAGAGAGTTTTAGTAGATTGTGTTTTCGGACCACGGCTACTTGTAGCGGGAGCTCGCGCTCCCTCTTCGATGCATGCTCCGAAGCGCGCGCCTGTAGAGGTAGCGGGCCTTTGAAAACGATCTACTAAAACTCCCTAATATTAAAATCCCAATCACAAAGTTGACGGCCGAGAAGCGAGTTCGACGCCATGAACGGAGGCTCAGCGCAGGCTGAGAACGAGCCTCCACTTATCTTCTGAGAAGAAGTACAATCTTGGTGGTGCGCAGTGCACGTTGCAGAAGCGTTGTAGACGCTAATCGTAAGCTCGGGCTGAGCAGGAACGCTCTAAACTATGGCCGCCAGTGAATGTCACCTTCGGCACCCCAACGCGCCTGAGCGAACAGGGAGTCGATAATCTTCGTGCGCGGTCACCGAAGACCACTTACAAACGATGGCCTCTAAAACATATCATAAACAACCAATAATTGTCCACTGGAAACGCCCCCCCCCCCCCCCCCCCCCCCCGGTTTGAAACGCAGTAGAAAAGCACGGCGAAAGAAGTGAGCACGAACAAGTAACCTCCTTGAACACGAACATGACATCGGGGCGCACGGCTGCTTGACAAACAGCCCACCCGCTGAATGCCCGCTGAGAAGCTGGTGGAGCATCCTTTAATGTTGGTTTTAGAGTGGATCGCGGTTTCCCATTAGTGCAATGCTTTGGCAGTGGTCGTATTTAGACTCCTTACATCTATATCAATCATTTCATTTGGTTCGACGTTTGACCAAAGTTACCCTTTAAAAAGAGCTGCAAAAATTTATGAAAAAAGAAAAAACACGACTAAGATGTGATTTTTAGAGTATTTTAATCCAGTGAACCTTGATATCATGTCCGTTTTCCCTGAAGATGTGACTAAACGTGAGAAAACACGAAAAACCTCCGACCAGTCGTGACGTCATGAAAGGATATTTCGGCCGCCAAGCGCGTGTCGCTCATGTGGGCAGCGCGTGCAATTGCACGCTTGCACGGCGCCTCACTGGTGCCCCATGTGTGCTGCAAGCTTGTGCAGTGTGCGCGTGAACGTCGCTTTGACAATCTTGTAATTACACGCACTTGCTCACATGAGCAGAGATATATGGTGACGTCCAGACGCCCTGCGTGCAATCGTCTATACTCCCCCGCACTGAAACCAGTCGTGGCGCCTTTCTCTAATCTTTTCCTTGAAAGTAGCAAGAGTGCGCGTGCATAGCTTTGATAGGCGCTGAAGATGCGCAAAAATAAAGTTTCCAAAAATATTTTTTTTATGACGTAACGTTTCAAAAAGGAGGTGTTGGTGGTACTTTGATGAAACGGATTTTCTACAGCCGTCCGCCAAAGTAATGATTGAAGATAACGTAATAATGCAGACGAGCTGGTTAAAGTTAAACAGATACGTCTTGTGTTTTTTCCCTTTTTGTACCCTCTGTCTTGGGTTTTAGAATTGTTGAAAACTAATCTCGATGATCGTAATCCTGGGGGCCAAATGAAGATGATTTAAGTGTCTTTAACTCAAATACAAAAGCGCTTCGGTTTCCCTTTAAACTGCCAGTGAGTGGCCTGAAAGCTTGGCATATATACACAGACCAGAATCTATAGACCAATACGCTTGTTTACAAACAAGCCTGCGTTGACTGACACCAGGTGTGGACGCTGATTCGCGTAAAGTGGTGCGTCTATATACGCGTGCGCCGGGCAAACAACAGCGCCACCTCGGCGGAGCGAGTGGAACTCCATTATACACCGCGCGCCGCGCGGGTTGTTTAGCGATTCTTGGTTCTATACGAGTCCCAGTTTTTGCAAACATCACTTTCCCAGTTCTATTTTTGCCGCGCTTCCGGCCGAATTACAGCTGTAAGACAACTGGTATATTAGCGAGACAATCGTATATATATATAACGGTCCCCAAATTTGAACACCGTGTAGTGTTGTACGGTCGGTGGGGAAAACAAAACAAAAAAACAGCTCACACGTGTAAAGGCGATGGATTCGGCGTGATTAAATACAAACGCAAGATAAACGTACGGCGCGCGGGGGGAACTAGCTCGTGCGTTGCCGGCTGGTTGTTCAGATTCCGCGAAAACTCGTCGTATGTCATTTTAAATTCTGGATGGATGGGCTGTTCTTTGTCGGCTTTCCTTTCTTTCTTTTTCTTTTTTTCGCGTTTTCTACTTGCCACATGTGCGCGCGCAACAATTCCCAGCACATTTAACGGAGTAGCTGGTTTCGAGAATACAAAATATGAAAAATAAAACAAAAGAAAAACTTTAGAACATGCTGCGCTTCCCTGTGCCCCACATATGCTGTACACGGTTATTTAAAAAAGAAAAAAAGAGAAGAAAACGCGGAAACCTGACAAGATAATTGATCTGCGCTGTATAAGCTTGACAAATAACACGAAGGTAAATGGCTTCGTTACGATTCCGGAAACATTTTTTTTTTTTTTTTGGATAGAAAACCCCTTTTAAACAATGTTTGTGCGTGAGAGGCTTACACAAACATTTTCATTTAAAAATTAAGTAAACAAAGCCGCATCGAGAATGATCCCAGCATAAGGAATGCTTACGTCATTCTCAACGTCACACGTCAGTCGCAAACCTTTTTTCTTTTCTGTTTTTGCATCATCGAATCTTGTGTTTTGTTTCAGCTTAAACGGTAACTCCGGTCAAAAGTCAAACCAAACTAATCGACTGATATCGATTCGCAAAGACTAAATACGAGCACTGCCAAAATATTA